GGTGGGAGGGCAAGGAAGGGGGGGAAGGGGTTCTGACGTGGATTTATCAATCAAGGGATATTATTCACACCACTCCACAAACAGGTTCTCAACGGCTTTTTTTTTTGTGGGGGGGGGGGCCCTTCTATTTTGGAAAAAGATATGGGGGTTATTGGGGCTTATTGGGGGTTATTGGGGGGTTATTGGGGGGTATTGGGGGGTTATTGGGGGGGGTATAGATTACGGATACAGACAACCCCATACGTGCCTTCATCAATCCGATTAAGCCTCTCGAACTCATCCACGCTCCGACACCCTTCAAGCATATTGATCGTCCTCTCTACCAATCCGGCAATTAGGAGGGAGCCCCTCTCTCTCTCTCTCTCTCTCTCCCTCTCCCTCTCCTCATCAGATGACAGATCACCAGGCTTCTGAAATTCGTCGTCGTAATATTCCCCATCTTCTTCAAGTTCCAGCAATTCCCTCTTGTTGAGTTCTCTCTCGTACTCCTCGCTGTCTCGGCCTCCACTGCTCCTCTTCCCTCCTCCTCCTCCTCCGCCTGCTCCTCCTCCTCCGCCTCCGCCTGCCTTGCTGCCACCCCCCCCTCGCTCATCACTAACGTCATCTCCCTCGCTCCCTCTTACCCTCTTCCCCTCCCCGCGCCGCTCGCGCACATACTCCCCCGGTTCCGGCGACGCGCTGTCGCGACTGCGACGGGTTCTCTCCCCGGAGGCCGGTCTCCCGCCGCCGTCGGGACTCATCGACCTGACACGGTATCGCCCCCCCCGCTGGCCCTTGCCGGCCCTGGGCGGAGTCGGGACCGCCTCCGCCCACCTCGACGCCGAGATCATCGCCACGTGGCGGGAGTCGTCCCGATCGCGATCCTTCTCTTGAGGAGATACCGACCGAATCTGGCCCGGCTCTGGCGGCTCATCATCGGATGACGTGTCGGATCCCGGCGACAGATCTCTTGGTGGGAAAGGAGACACCGAGGCATCAGAGCCGCCGGAGCGGCGGAGAGGAGGGGGAGGCGGCGGAGGGGGAGGAGGAGGAGGAGGTGGAGGGCCAGGTGGGGGAGAGAGAGAGTACTCCGAAGATTGGGGAGAGAAATCGTCAGCTCTTGGCGGATGAGACGGTAGAGGGGGGGGGGGGGGGGGGGGAGGCGGGGGGGGCGGGGGAAACGGGGGGGGGGGGGGGGGGGGGGGGGGGAGATGATATCACGACCGGTATGGTTCCACTCTTGAAGACCGTGTCATGGGCTGTAGTGATTAAGAGACTTGGCTCCTGAGGCTAAGGTCGCCGGTTCGAATGCGTGCTTGCATGGAGGAGGGCTGTGGCCCACGTGGACGTATCGATGCACCAGATTTTAGGCCCATGACATATCCGTTCCTTGAGAGAGGAAAGACAAAACAAGAATTAGTACGTCTTAAAAAAAAAAAAAAAAAAAACCGAAACGTCGTGAGAGTGCAATAGACGCATACATAATACATAGTACATACCCTTACAGCCTGTAGAAGCCATGTGACCAGTCCCATGGCATAAAAATATGATAATACATACGTTGGCAGGTCCCATGGTCCATTTGACCGGTCCCACAGCCCATTGTTGAATAATTTGGGGGAGATGGAAAGGATTTGCTACGACTCTGTTATTGCCACCTTCCCCCAAACACAGCACACACCATGACCATGAATGTATACAAGCCATCTTTCTGGTATGATACAGTCTTACCGATGAGGAAGCCTTGTGTTCGAGGGACAACAGCAGAAGTCTCTGCGCCAGTTGATGGGTTTATTCCGCGGTAAAAATGGGCTTCAGGGTGATTGAAAATGGGCCATGTCGTGAATCAAAATGGGTTGCAAGACCGGTCAAAATGGGCCATGGGACCGGCCATCGGTCAAAACGGGCCATGTGACCAGTCAAAATGGGCCCTGGGAGTCGTCAAAACAGGCCACAGGGGTGGTTAAAATAAAAATGGGTCATGCTGTGGGTCAAAATAGGCCTTGGCACCAGTCGAAATCGGCGATGGGGTGGTTGAATTCACTTTGTGTCTTTGTGTCGTGACTCGCTTCGTGTCTGTGATGACCCGACTCCGGTCCATGCCCGGTTTCGACTGAATCACAGTCTTTTTCAATGATCGCTTATTTCAATGATCGCTTATCAGTATATCTGCTTCGTCCAAAACGGGTCATGCAATCGGTCAAAACGGGTCATGGGACCGGTGGAAATGAGCCATGGGGTCGTCATTGAAAACGGGGCACAGCAGCGGTCAAAATGGGCCATGAGGTTGTCATTGAAGATGGGTCGCGCCATCGGCCCATCGAAATAGGCCATGCGACTGGTCGAAACAGGGTATACGGCGACTGGTCGAAATGGGCCCAAGGGGTTGGTCAAAACGGGCCCATGGGGCTAGTCAAAATGGCCCCATGGGGTTGGTCAAAATTGGCCCATGGGGTTGGTCAAAATGGGCCTATGGGGTTGGTCAAAATGGGCCCATGGGGTTGGTCAAAATGGGCCCATGGGGTTGGTCAAAATGGGCCCACGGGGTTAGTCCCAAGCCGTGCAATATTATAGCACTCGCAAAGCAAGACACCAAGCACCAAATCACCTCCGCCACTCGCTCCCTTTCCCATCGATCGCCCCACACCACAGAGTACCAGAGCCCAAGTCCCACACTTGCCTGTACCAGAGCGTAACCACCATTCTCGTGTAGCACCGGAGGGGACTTCCGTACTGCCGCGCAAGACCAAAATCGCAGATCTTCAGCTCGCCGCGATTATTCAGGAGCAGGTTGGATGTCTTCAAGTCACTGCAAGAAACCAGAGACATCACATCACATCACATCACAGCACAGCACAGCACAGCACAGTACAGCACAGAACAGAACAGAACAGAACAGAACAGAACAGAACAGAACAGAACAGAACAGAACAGAACAGAACAGAACAGAACAGAACAGAACAGAACAGAGCAGAACGGAACGGAACGGAACGGAACAGAGCAGAGCAGAGCAGAACAGAACAGAACAGAACAGAACAGAACAGAACAGAACAGAACAGAACAGAATAGAACAGAACAGAACAGAACAGAACAGAATAGAACAGAACAGAACAGCACAGTGGGTTACTTATCAGTACTGGGGGGCTCAGACCTCCTCCGTGCGTGCACGGATTCGAACCGGCGCCCTTGGCCACAAGACCCAAGACTCTTAACCACTCCAGCCATGCATGACAAGGGGTACAAAAGTGGAACCATACCGGTCGTGATATCCCCCCCCCCNCAAATCCCAGATAATAGGAGAGTATTTCCTCTTCTTAGGCGCAGGTGGAGAGATTGCTGCGCTACCTCCCCCTCCCCCTCCCCCTCCGCCTCCTGCCACGTGGAGCCATCCTTCGGCCGAAGCCACTCCGCCTGCCATGTCAGCAGCTGCTGATGTGGAAGCCCCTCCGCCGCTGCCACCATTCCTCCCCTCCCCCCTTCCATCGTCTTCTCCACGAGAATCCTCCGCAGACGAGGATCTCGATCGGCGATGAGGATCCGGATCCCGACTTCCTCCTCCCCCCCCCCCCCTTCCCTTCTGGTTAACCAGATAATTGCCACTCCCTGCGCCGCCCACCCCTCCTCCTCCTCCTCCCCCCCCCCCCCCCCCCCCCCCCCCTGCGCCCCCTCCTCCTCCTCCCCCTCCTACTACTACTAGCCCTCCCCCACTACTCCCCCCTCGCCTTTCACTCACAGTGTAATCATCGTCATGCCTGGAGATCCTCTGGGCTCGCTCTCTGTCCCCCCATTCCCTGTCCCTTCTCTCCCTGTCCCGATCCCTGTACCTCTCCCCTTCCCTCTCTCGATATCCAACGTCCCGATCCCTACCACTCCTCTCTCGATCCCGATGCTGTTCCCCCCTTTCTCTCATATTCGACACTCTCTCTCTCTCTCTCTCTCTCTCTCTCTCTCTCTCTCTCTCTCTCTCTCTCTCTCTCTCTCTTTAAATCCTTTTATCTCCCCCTCCCCTTCCCTCCTCTCCCTCTATTTCCGACGTCCCGATCCCTACCACTCCCTCTCTCCGTTTGGGTATACCTCTCCTTCCCCCTCTCTATATCCAACGTAGCAATCCCGATCCCGATCCCGATCCCGATCCCGATGCCTCGCCTCCCTCTCTCTCATCTCGATTCTCTCGTCTCCTCTCTCTCCTCGTTTTCCAATCACCAACACTCTTCAGCCTCAATTCAGTTCAGACCATTCTGCTCACACCAGAACTTTGCTAGGGCCGTATTCCCGCCATTGCGACCAGATTCACTCGATGCCCTCCCCTCCTCTCTCTCTCTCTCATCTCGCTTCTCTCGTCTTCTCTTTCTCCTCGTTTTCCAGTTCAAGACTCTTCAGCCTCAATTCAGGCCATTACATTATACTCACCACTGCGACTTTTCTGGTGGACGTATCTACCCGCATCTGCGCCCAGATTCGCTCGAACGAAAAGCCCCAGTACGACATCTCCCCATTCTTCTCCCTCCATAATCGACTTCTGCCGGATATGACCGTTGTTCCTTCCTCGAGGGCAATAGCTACACAAGCTTATGAGGCCAAATCCACGCACAGCGGGGGCAAGGTCCCACTTGCACGGATTAAGAGATTCTGGCCGTTGATCTTTGCTATCTACGATCAGTATCGCTTAATTCGTGTAAGTGGGACCTAACCCCGGCCCAAATCCCCCTCTACCAACAGCCCATTCTTCACCCCGAAGAACGGCAAGCCTCACAATTTTGATTATTACCCCTTTGGGCAACGGTTGTCCCGAAGGACGTACCTGGTCGCAATTTCGTTCCAAAGGGGTGTTACTAATTAAGCCTTCAGGTCCTGTTGGCGGGAGCCCGGTAAGCTCGCCGAAATTCCCAAAAAAAAAAAAAAAAAAAAGCTCGCCGAAACTGCTCCCAGACCAGAAAGGAAGTCATTCCCGCCGCCGACACGCCCTCCCTCATACCCAAAGACAGGCAGGCCCTTGCAATTTTCAGTACGAACAATTTGCCAAAAAAAACAAAACAAAAAAAAAGAAATCGAAAAACAAAAAATACCCCCATAAGTCCAGATATATATGCCAAAATGCCCCTCAAAGATGTGGGCCAAATCTTTGTGTTGTGCCCCTGTCAAGGGCATATGTGCAACTTGTAATCTGTACCTCTCCCCGTTGGGGCCTTGGCCTTTTTTGCAATGTGTCCTAGGAAAAGTTGGCAAGTACTGGAGCATTTTTCAAATTGGACGATCCCTGGTAGGGGTATATTGCGAAGAAGTGGAATTTGGCTCCGGACCAAACTCTTGAATCGTTCGTGCTTCCGAGCTTTTTTTCCCAAGCGAGATTTGTGTTGCGCCCCAAATCCGGAAACAAATCGGCGCACCTCCCCAACAGCAACTATCTCGCCGCCTTTGGACTCGGTGGTCAGCCGCAAGGTCTAGCGGTTAGTACGAGGATTGGGCTAGCGGTTGGATTTCACTACGTCACTACTAATCCTGTATGTTTTTAGGTTTTCTGCATCTACGGTTATGAATCAGGTTCCTTCTTTTCAGTTTCTCAGCCTCTGCACGATCAACATTGTTCGAAAGCATCCCATTTCTGAAATAATGTTCATTAATTGTGCTACAGTCAAACTCTTTTGTAGACCGATTCTTATTCGCCAAATCCAGCAGATCCTCACGAAGCGGTCCTACCCATCCTCGTTTTCCCCGCAGTGTATGGGTTTGTGGCCCATCTCAATTACCTTTCTCTATAGGATTTTGTATCATTAATGCTGATTTAATTTGTTGTTTCGGTGAATTGTATAATAGAGGTTCATCTCAACTGCCATACTCATGAATTCTTAAAATATAAATATGTATTTGAGTTCATACAAAACTAAATGATTGAAATCAAATACTTTTAACTTACCCGCGGCTGGTCAGTTCGACGGAATATATCTCAAGGTCGGTGCCCTATTTATCCAAAAAAAATTGAGCCATCATGACTGAAACCCAATTGTTGTGGATGATGCCAAAGTCAAATAATTAAGCATCCCCCAAAAATCACGATTGTATACAAACAAGTTCAAAGAAAAAGGGTGGTGTGATAGTTGAGGGTTCAATGCAATGTTTACCATGCTCCACTGCTTCGACTATTCAATAAAAACTCAAAGGCGACGATAGGTTTGTGCAGTGTCAACAACATAGTAACAATTACACAATCGACACGCAACTCCATCCACTAAGAGTGAGAGAAAGGGAGAAAGTAAGAGCGGGAAACAAAACAAAAAGTGAGAGAGAGTGATGAGGATAAATTCAAGAAGAAAAGGAGAAAGGAAAGAGAGAAAGGGAAGACAAACGAGACAAAATAAATAAATAACACGAGAGATTATATGAGTGTTCTTACACTTGGTGCAATGATATATTGCTTTGCAAAAAAAAAAATCTAAAAAGACAAAAGTACGAGTATAAGTTGAGTTAAACATAATGATAATCCAAATAACATATATTGACTAAATAAAGTAATAGGATCGCTTATGGCTGAAGATAAAAGATTGTGATGAAAAATCATAATTAAACGTGCTTCTTTCTGTGATTCTGAGGATAAAGGAATATGTATAACCACCATTCATGTATAAGGCTACAAAGAGAGGGGTGGGGTGGGGTGGGGGGGGAAGGGGGGGAGAGGGAAAGAGGGAAAGAGAGAGACAGACATCCAGACAATGAAAGTAACTCGATGCACACGTACTCTAAATATGAAGATGTATCGGGTTGACATCATCGAGCGTCAATACGACCGATTACACGTAGACATGCACACACATTTAAGATTGACTAACAAAGAAAAAAAAACGGGGGGGAAGAAAAAAAAAAAAGAAGGGAAAGAGCGAGGAGGAAAAGGAAATAAAGAAGGAATAAAAAAGGCAAAGAGTAAAGGAATAGATCAATATCCTTAAACTCATACACGCCTAAATTTATTTAGTTGGCGCTATTGTTAAATTAAAAATATATATATAAATATAAATAAAAAATAGACTAAACATGATTCATTAATGCTTACATCAAGTTAGATATACATAAAATTAAGACTACGCAGAGAGAAGGAGACAGAGAAAGAGAAAGTAGTAAAGACGAGGAGAGGAAGAGAGAGGGAAAGTAGGTTGGAACACTTACACTCGGGCATGCTGATGTTGAGCGCATCGGTCCCACACGGGGACCCTCCCGGCCGCGTCACGCAGGATTTAGCAGGACTTGTCGCGGAAGAGCGTGTTACCGCTCCGGCCGAGTGCGCCAGCCGTACCTCTCACGCGCCCCTACGACAGGACAGGGTCACGCAAGGCACCGCTACCTCCACCAGCGGGAGCTGTCACCATCCCTTTGGTGGGCGTATTCCCGCCGAGCTACTGAACCACATGCGAAAGCTTTTATAATGCAATTGCAGAGGTGGCCCAGTCGAGGGCGTTTCTCGTTCGCTGTAGCATAAGGGTTACGCGCGGTCAACGCCCGAAATCGAACCCGTACGCAAACCGACGATACTGGGGGGCTGAAGTGCCAAGCTCGACTTGACGTCGGTCGACTAGAACGCTTCACGCACACCACACGCTACACCACTCTAAAACAAAAATCAAGTAACTCGCACACACGCACACACAAGCAAAATAGAGAAAATACAACTCCCAGTCCCTTCGGTATCTGACCCATAACTCTTCGACACGAACGCTAGGTAGCCATTGCGCGTTGGACTTCGTATAAAAGACCCCGCGAACGCACGACCTTCTCATACCAACCAGTCATGCGTGCTTACACAAATGATTACAGTGATGGGGTACTATGTGGCGTCCAAGCCTAGGTGGCCCTCAGTTGGTTTGAGGGTTTCCTTCGACACTCAAGTGTCGGCTGACAAGCGCGTCAAGGGTTAATCTCTCCGCGCTAGACAACCGCCATGAGCGGTTGAGGACCACACCCTCTTCTGCACCCTGTGCAGAGGGGTTGAGTAGACAACTTCAAGCTGTCGTGGCAGCCAAAGATAAAGGGGTTTGACTTTGACGGCTGCCACGGGCTACAATGCCCAACCATTAAAGCTTTAAGAAGGAAGCGGTCCAAGGCCTTAGTCAGGGCGAGCGACCCTGCTTAGCCCGTAGTCCTCCCCGATACCCTTTAAAGGCAGGCTAGCACGAAGCCGTGCACAAACAAATCGCAAGTCTGGCCCCTAAGCGGGCCGACGTTTGGCGCGCCTGAGCGCTCGAACGTGGAATCCTTACGCACTTCTTCGCGTTGTTGCCCATCATGCGATTCTGTCTCCGTCGTCAGACCCATAACTCTTCGATGTGGGAGTCAGGTCGGCGCCGCGTGCTGGATTCAATATAATCCGCGCGGGTACTAGGCCTTCCCATCTCGACCAGCAATGTTGTCCAACTCAAGCGGTCGCCGAAATATCTTCGCGATATTGAATGGCTGAAGGAATATATCGTGGGGGCTCGCCCCTCACGATATTGAACGGCTGAAGGACACGCCGTTCGGCCCACATGGCACCCCTAGCCTTGCGGTTAGGCAGCCTGGTGGGCAGGGCACTTAGGCACTGTGCGGGAGAAAAATCCCCCACCGCAGGGTTTGGTTCGGGGTCCTTGTTGACAAGGACCTTGAATTCCTAGCCCAAGGACTAACGTCCGTCTACAGAACTCAAAAAAAAAGAAAGGTGGGTTGCGCGGGAGTAGGGGAAGGGATCCTTCCTCTTCTCGCGCGGTCCCCGCCTCATCACACAATACTTGACCAGTCACGCGAAGGGTCGCGCGTGGGTAGGGCTCAATCCGGGTGCCCAAGCAACCCAGCGCTCAGAGCATTGCATGTTCGCGCGCGGGCTTTCCCTAGGGTCGACCGAACCTTAGGACCACAGTCGCGCACACACTTGCCACACTTAAACTCACGCTCAGACATTTATCGTCACCATAGCTAGGTTACACAGGGATACAGAAAGGGCATAAGTGTGCACTTGCACAGCGGGGTGAGGGTCATGCGAGCGTGAGCCTAGCCTCAATACATAGACAAGGAGATTAGTCAGGCAAAGAGTTGTGCGATAGTACACTCTCACAATAGTTTACGTGGCTTGCCTGCCTGAACTCAATACAATCAAAACATCAGACTCATTCAACATGCTTCAAACATACATGTGATCACACACAAGAGTCAAACAACAAAACACACACTAAAGGGGGGTCAACTTTCCAACTTTCTGCAACTCATACCCTGCCTTATGCACACAAGCCTAACCATTCCCCCACCATTCCAAACAAAGATACTCAGTTCTCAAGAAATGGCCATTTATAAAGAAGTTGGGTGAAAACCCAAGAAACATGAAAACCAGCCGAGGACAAGGCCTTAGGTTGAGAGGCAGAAGAAAATGGAAGGTTGAGTCATGTACCGACGAACCGGCAACCGACCTGTTATCAGTGATAACATAAGAGTAGTCAGGCTGACAAAGTTAGACCTTCGAAATAAGCGTACAGCCTGCACCACAACACAGGTCAAAGAGAAATTGCTCCTAGGTTCAGCATGAGTGAGGAATACTCCTATCTCCCCTACCTGACTGAAAATATAATAACTCCTCTAATTTTGCGAAATTTCGACAGCGCTTCTCGTAGGAAAAATGTCTTCCAAGAGTTTAT